TGTTTTGGGTTTTTTGTTTGTTTTGGGTTTTTTTGTTTTTGTTTTTTGGGTTTTTTTTTTGCTTAAGTACATTCTATGATAAAACAAAGGTAAAAGATTCAATATACACTTTAGGAAACAAACTAAAAACAGATTTCAGAATTTCAAATTACTATAGTTAATATAATTTCACACTTCCTACTCCCAGAAGTTTAAGAAAAGCAGAGTCACGGTATAATTAAAACACATGGATGAACTAATCCTTCTGTTCCCACAGCTAAATTATGGTCTAAAACAATACACAGACTAGAACTTGGCAAAATGCTAATCTTTATCAACCACCAGATGATTAGCAGAGCTTACCTACAGCACAGAGTAAGCACTGCTTCTAGAAGAGTTGTCTGAGGAACACCTGGGCCAGAATGACATAGATAAAATATGGTTTTACATCCTATCCCACAACCACTGAGACAAAATTTGGGGGCTTAGGTCCTGGGACTTTACATTTTAACAAGATTCCCTGGTGATTTTTAAGTACACTAAAGATTGAAAATCAGTGCTAAAGGAGGGAATTACTTGTAATAGAAGAATGAAGACAGCACTATAACACCCTTAAGTATATTAGTAAATGTTATAACTTGGACTTTATTTGCAAATTAAGACAATAATGTAGTACTACACACCTATTAAAATGGCTAAAGTCCAAAAAAACCCTTAGAACTATCAAATGTTGGTAAGAATGCTGAACAGTGTCATTGCTGGTAGGAATGCAAAATGGGACAACCACTTTGAAAGACAGTTTGGTGGTTTCTTAACAAAGCTAAACATAGGCTTACCATATGATCTAGCAACTGCACTCCTTGGTATTTACCCAAAGGAGCTGAAGACTTATATCTACACAAAAACCTGCACATGGATGTTTATAGCAGCTTTATTAATAACTGCCAAAAACTGGAAACAACCAAGATGTCCTATAATAAATGACTCTGGCACATCCATAACAATTAATATTAGTGACAAAAAAGGATTTATCAAACCATGGAAAGATATGGAGGAACCTTAAATGCATATTGCTAAGTGAAAGAAGCCAATTTGGAAAGGCTACATACTGGATGACTTCAACTATATGATGTTTTGAGAAAGGCAAAACTATAGAGACAGTAACTTATTACTCATTGTCAGGGGTTATGGGGAGAGAAGAATGAAAAGGTAGAGCGCAAGGGTTAGGGCAGTGAAACTACTCTGTATGAAGCTGTAATGGTTGATATATGTCATTATGCCTTTATTAAAAGCCACAGAACTATACATCACAAAGAGCGAAACTTCATGTAAACAATGAGCTGTAGTTAATAATAATGTATGAAATTTGGTTCATTAATTATAACAAAAAAGCAAGCCCCCAAACTATTTCAATCATTATGGGGCAGAATATGAAACTGACATTCTGTAGTATATATATCCATATATTCTGTATCCATGTGATTTTGGTCAAGGATCTGAGGAGCATTAGATCATTAGACAACTATTCTAGAAACAGTACTTATTCTGTGCTGTCTATAATCTCTGCAAATCAGCTGGTGGTCAATAAAGACCAGCATTTTGCCAATTCTATACAATGAATTTATAAAAGCAGGATGTTAATAATAGGAGAAGTTATGTACGTGTCTATGTGTGGGGGTGGGGAGGATTATATGAAACTCTACACTATCTGCTCAATTATTCTGTAAAATTGTACTTAAAAAAAGGTCTATTAATTTCTGTCTTAAATAATAGTAATAATAATAAAACCAGCAACTGCACAGCATCAGTTCACAGTAATACAAAGGAAAGGCCTCCACACTGACGCCTGGACCTGTCATACCTTGAGAGCTGGCCAGAAAGGAAACAAACACACATGACTAACAAAAGAAAAAGCGGAGTCCATGTAACACATCATAAACACATCAAGTTGAGCAGACCTGCAAGTGGAGATGCACAGGGCCTGCACAGGCTCCCTGCTCAGTGGGGAGCCTGCTTCTCCCTCTGCCTCTGCTGGTCCCCCTGCTTGTGCTCTCTCTCTCTCTCTCTGGCAAATAAATAAATAAAATCTTAAAAAAATTAAAATTATAAAATAGTCTATGATGTAACATAGCCACTGTATAAAGTGAGGTGTACTGGTAACCTAAACAAGTGGTTTTCCCATGGTGGTGTTTGTACATAGCTCTACTGCGGCCCCTCTGGGATGCTGCAGGAGATCCAAGGGAGGTCAATCAGACATGCTCCATGGGTAATAAGGCCCAGGGTGCCTGACTTGAACTAACCAGGGCAACTCCACTGCTGCCTTTTCTCACACTGAGGTTCTGTGTAAGATTCTGTTCGATTAACAATTACACTGAGTTAAAAAATATATATGGGAAAACCAGTGGACTAAGCCATTATTCCAGTTATTTCAAAATTAAAAATCAGGGGTCTCATCTATAATTATCATATACATGGAATAAATTATAATTATCTTCCTCTCTCAACAAAATATTTGAGTAAGGAAGGACATATGCTCACCATTTAAAAATATGTAACAAGGGTAGAGAACATCACAAAGAGCTTGAAGAGGAGTTTTTCCCCCAGATACAATATATTAATTATTACATTAAAAAATAACATATGGTAAGAGCAATGTTTCGACCAGTAAACCTATATGCTTTAGAGTCCTCTGTTGGTGAATCTTTACAGCTGGCTGGGAAGGAAAGATGTTCCTTTCCATAGGGTAGAGAACTGAGGATAAAGTTAGTAATATGAGAGTAAATGCAGAAATCATCCTTAGTGCTTCTCAGGCAATGTGATCGAGCAGATTTGAATTTGAGTCCTTACTCCATCTCTTACTGATTTGGCATGTTTATTGTTTATTAACTGTTTATTAACCCTCTCAGACTATTTCCCCTCCATAAAAGGGGTTAATAGTTTTGTGAAGATTAAAGAAAACATTGTGTAAAGTGCCCAGCAATACTTTGCACATAACAGATGCTCAGTACATGCCTTTCCATTCACACCTTCCCCTGCAATAAATGAGGCAGTCTTACAAATGGATGAGTGCTTAGGAACATCAAGGAAGAGTGAACTGTGTGGATTATTTCCTTAAAGTACTGGATTCCTTCTATAAATGAAGTTTTGACAGTGATATTTAAAGACTGCTACTAGTTTTACGGGTGACCCCCCCTCAATGCCCACAATCAACTCCTCCTCTCACATCCATATCTTCCAACATGATCTCAACAGAAATGACTGTCCTTCCAGGACCAATTAGAATGAAAACAAATAGCAATGCTATATAAAAAACCTTTCATTATCAATTACAAATAAATCCTTTAACTTTAAAAATCTGTTTTTAAATTGTTTTGGCAACAAGCTAATTTTTAACAATTGTTAATTTATATATTAATATTTAAAAGAATAATCTGTTTGGGCAAGAAACTAATCCGTGTGACTCTAATTAAAAGAGTTAGGAAGATAAATCTATACTTAGCACAGAGTCAGATCTCAATAAATACCTGTCACATGAAAGAAGGGAAAACCTACCATTTTTACAATAATAGAAGGAAAATCTGAGAAGAACTAGAGAGATTCTAAATGGAACTCTCCAATTAAGAAGAAACTAAAGTACAAAGAAAGCAAATGACTTGTCTTAAGATTATAAGAAAGGTAGCAATATCAAGAAAAAATTTAACTGCCATCTTAAAGCCAAATTTATTTTTTATCATCTTTTAGACCCTACAGTTTATGAACATGGAGAATTAACCCCTTAATAGGAAAAAAGATAACACTACTTTTCTATTTAGTTTTATATTTAATCAAATGCACTAATTATGCATAGCAATTAAGAAATCAGAGCACAGATAAAAGACCCCAATTATACAAACAAGACAATTTGTGGTATAATATGGATATGATTTTTCTGGTCATCAAATTAAATTGCTATAGATGCTTTTATAATAGATAAAAGGATAGATAAAATTAAATTTGTAAAAAAAAAAGAATTATTTAAACTTAAAAATCAACATTTTTTGAGTGAAAAATATTATCAGGCTTGTTCTATGTATTTACACATTTTATCCTCACACATTTAATCTTTACCATAATCTTATGAAACAAAGAGTCCCACAATCCCCTTTTTACAACTGAGGAAACTGAGGCACACAGAAGTAAAATTAACAAGCTCAAGATAACACGGCGTAATACCCAGGCAATCTGGCACCAAAGCCCATGCTCTTATAACCACCATGCTATCCTGTTTCTAACTGTATGATTACTTTTTAATAAAGTACATTTTATAAAAACCTAATACTAGTTTCTATTTAATATGCAAAGCTCAAGATAGTTATATAATACTTATTAATATTTCTAGCTATATAGCATGAGCATTCTATTTATGTAGCATTTTAGGAACACTTTTATAAAAAGACCACAAAAAACTCACAGGTTATATACTAAAGACACAATTTGAAGGCATTTTCAGATGTCCTTCTATGGATGATTTTAACAGATTAAAAAAAAAAACCTATAATCCTATGAAAATTGGTGTTAGTCAATCTAAAGAGGCCATTACCAGTTCTCAAATTATTTAGGCATATTTAAAAAAAGAAATGAGACTGCTTTAGATGCTGTTGTTGGTATGCAATTAACATTGTTTAAATTAACAGTTATAATACATTTTGATCAAACTGACTGAATTCTAGAGACTATAAAATATATGTGAATCATGATTCAAAACGAGTATTAAAAGCAAGGCAGAGTTACAGGCTTGATAATCTAAAAGTGGTCATCAGGCCTGTGATTCTGCTCAAACTTGGTTATATCACCATCTAAAAAAGAAGATAAAACAACCACAAGAATAAGTAGAAAAGGAAATCCAAGTCTAATATCATCTACATTTTTCTACCTCTGCTGACAAAGTCCATTGCCAGTACATGCTGTAAAGAGAAATATTACTGAAGAATAAACAAAAACTGTTTTTTGAACTTGTTCACACCTAATTCTTTGTTGCCTACCTGAAATCCATGCTTGCCTCTCCACCATGTGCTTAACACTTTTGGGGGCATGTCAATAACAGAAACAATATCTCCCACCTACAAGGAAAAATTTTAAGTGAAATTTTTTTAGTCAAATTTTAAACCAATTGTTATGTCTAGAATTTAAATCTGAACTAGAACAAAAAGGTAAAGTACAATCCTTATTCTCTGGCTAATTGTTTCTGGAAAAACATAACACCTTTTTCTATAAAAAATTTAATAATCTTAACCATTTGTAAAGAAGAGGTCTAAAAAAAGTTAAGCAGCACAAAGACTGGGATCCAACTAACATATGTGCAGTAACTTCAGAAAACCAAATTTCTAGCATACGATTTTTGAATGCCAGGCATCATACCATCATCACCACTTCTGTTAAAATATTGTTACTGTTACTAAAAGTGATCAGATCCACTTACAAGGGGAAGTTTAAAATACTCATATTTAGAACAAGCACAAGTTTTATTAATACACATTTAGTGTGTGCTTGCCATGTGCTATGTACTATTTTGAGCACTTGATATATTTTATTTAGTCATATAACAAAGGCCTGCAATGTCTACAATTACTTGGTAATCCTTAGTAAATATCAAGTTTGATGACAACTTTTTTCAATAAATGGTACAATATAACATTCCCACTAAATAGCTTACTTTCTTCGCTCTAAAAGATGAACTAGTGAGTTTATACAAACTTTTACAAAATCATAAATATAAAAATCATAATAATAGTTTTTAATAATACATTTAATGGAAGTTACATTCTTCAATCAAAGTAAGTGATGATTTCTGGGATAAAACACAGTTAAGTACTTCAGAACTAATGTTACTATGGTATACATATTGCTTTAAGAATTTTTCTTTGTATGCTAACAACTGATTTTTCAGGCCATTAAAGAGTCATCTTCACAAAGCCATATTTGCTAACAAACACGGCATCTTTCAAGACATGCATTCCTTTGTGTATGGAACCTAAAAATTTATATTGTTTTTTCTTAAACTGAATAACTTAGCAGTTTTTTGTTTCTCATCAGCCAAATTAAAGGAAGAAACTTAATTACCCTCTCACATCTGATAGCAAGAAATGTTCATTTCACTTTTCATCTGTTCTTTAACTCAATCTTTGAACAACGAGAAGAAAGTATCATTGGGTATTGTTTTTAGGTACTAAAAACACAAAGACAAAAGACTGAGACCTGGCTCTAAAGAAGATCATGGAGATAAACAGGACAACAATTATGACTGAGCGTAATAAGTGAAATGTCAGAGATAGGGGCGCCTGGCTGGCTCAGTCGGTAAAGTATGCAACTCTTGATTTTGAGGTCATGGGTTCGAGCCCCACATTAGGTATAGAGATTTCTTAAATATAAAATATTTAAAAAAAAGAAAGAAACAAAAAAGAAATGTCAATCCAGGCTATTTGGGGATATGTATTTGCAAGGACTAGGGAGAAGATCAAGGATGACTTCCTAGAAGAAATGGGAGATACAAGCTGAATTTTCAAGGATGGATATGGTCATTAAATAAAAATAGATAGCAATCCAGGCTGAAAGATAATGGAGTACAGGAAAAAGGGCCTGAGCTAACACAGAGTCTTCAGTCATTTACCTCTAAAGTCAATTCATCAGGGGCCCGAGCAGTGTACCTCTTGATAACGTGGGCAGCGCCAACAGCAGGAGTGTTGATGGATGATTCCTCATGAACTAGAAGATGATTTCCCTTATTATCAATCTATAACAAAGAAAATGGACTATGAGATGGTTAAAGACATGGGACTTGCAAAAGTTCCTTTGACTGTCTATAAAAGATACTCAATTTGATTTAGAGAGGTCATAACCCACAGAATCTTAATAAAAAAACAAACACTATATATTGAATACTTAACGTACACCTGTCATTGTGCTGTGCACAGAACATGATTTAATTTAATCCTCATAACTCTAAAAGATACTTAACATCATTATCATCATTTAAAGATGAAGATGTTAAAGCTAAAAGAGGTTATATAATTTATGAAAAATTAAATAATTTGTCCACGATCACACAGCCAATAATGGAAAAGCCAGTATCTCCGTGCAAGTTGGCCTGGCTCAAAGTTCCATATTCTTTCTATTTTCCATCCCGTCTTCCCAATTTCCACTGGGAGGAGAAAATAATATAATTTTACATATGCAAATTAAGGAGAAATACCGACCATATTTTCTGGATACTATAATAGTTAATACTTAATCTTAAATTGGACTCTTTAAAAGATGAATTGTCTCTTGTTCATAAATAATTGAAAAATATTTTCAATTACTAAGTCAACTAAATATATATATATGTATATATACACCTTTCTAAATGTACACATTAATACATTCAACGCCAAAATAAGAGGTGCCATTGCAATTCACAAGACATATTTAGATTAGTTTCCTGGATTCTCAAAGATAGATTTTAGATAAAAAATACTTAATGTATCACTTTATCTATCCTTCCAAAGATAAGAGTAAACTCCATTTCTTTGATCCCTGAAACTCATCAGCTATCAAAATTAAATTAATATTAAATTTCTTAAGTAGTTTAAAAATAAGTTTTGGTAAGAGGTGAATTAGATAATACCTCCATCCAGGTAAGGGCAGGTCCACAATTGATCTTGTTGCCAGCAATAGCTGAAAGGCGGGATAGGTAAGCCATAAGCATCTGAGTGACAGACTAAAGAGAAAGAGGAGATTCAGTGGTAACTCAAACTCAAGATACAGCACTCTCTGTGCAAGTAACTGGTATAGATTGGTTGTTTCTGGGGCAAAAAATCTGCAGATTTTTAGGCATTTTAATAGTTATAGGGGATTCTTCACAGAGGCTCCAGAGTTTCATGAAGTGAAACCACAAGGCACTTACATGGAAATCCCCTGTCTTGTGAAGAACTTTACTATCTCCTCATCATCAGGGGTCATACTATTTTATAGCTTCTAACCTTATTGCTGTCTCTATTTTTATACTGAAAATATAAAAAAGATAATTACAGCAGAGACATATTTGGCTTTTCTGCCCAGCTTCCCCCTGGCTACCTTCAAAGTCTCAGAGACCTGCTATATCTTCCATGCATGCAGCTGTGACAGGACAGCCATGTTCGTGTGTGACTGCATACCAGGGGTCCGTGGATTGGTCCAGAAATGTGACTGAACATTAGCTGGCCTAACAGGAGTCACTGCAGGAATTAGTAAATTATGATACAAAATTTCAACTCATTCTGTCAGCTGTCTTAAAAAAAGAGATTAAAAACCTAGGACCTATTCGTAGTGGCCATGTCCTAAAACAGCCTGAGAAAGAAAAATGTGACAAATAGGTGGAGATGGAAAACGGAGATGGACTTCTAGGTTTCCTATGACACAAAAGAATCTGTGGTTTTAAGATGTTCCTGAGACCCTGCTGCTGTGTCAGTTCTTACATGACTAAGGAGGTCTCTACTTTGTCCTACCTACTTAATTGCCTTGGAATTAATTAGAGATTTGAAATGGCTTCCCCTCAGGACTTGAAAAGTATCTGCACTCTTTTCAAACATCCATTGCGGATGCTGAGGAGTCTAATGTCAATATGATTCTTGTTCTTTTAAGTAGGTATGTGTTTTGCTCCCTGAAAGCTTTTTGGGTTTTCTCTCTGTGCTGGCATTTTGAAATTTCACTATGGTGTTTTGAGAAGCATGTCTTTTCTGTCATCATACTTAGTACTTACTGGGCCCATCTGATCTGAAACATGCCTTTCCTTAGTTTTAGGGAATTTCTTATATTAAATTTTAGTTTCTTCCATGTACTGTATCCTGCTAGAACTTCTAGAAGAGGGAAGTAGGTACTTCAGTATCCTTTCTCTGTGATTCCCAAATGTTCTCCCACAACTTTTCATCCTTCTCTCCCTTCTGAGGCTATATTTTTATAAAATTTGCTCTCCCAGCTCACTAACGCTCTCTTCATCTGTGTCCATTTTGCACACAATCCAACTATTGAGGTTTGCTATGACTAAAATTAATTTAAGTAAGTACATGTTCATTTCTAAGATCTCTGATTCTTTTATTTTTATAAAACTCTGCTCTCATTCCATGACAGATTGCCTCACTTTCTCTGATAGTAATCATGCTTCTGAAAGCCTTGTTTGTTCTTTTCAGTTATTTTATTTATTCAGCTTTTACGATCAAGATTTCTAACTTATCTGTCTTCTTCAATCCTCTTGTACACGTTTTTTATGCTGTATTTGCTCGCCCCCATGAATCTTACCCCATCTACTCTCAAAGATTCCTCACAATTTTGATGGTTGTTATTTTCTGATGTTATAAAGAATCTCTTCCCATTTACATTTTTTTTTAAATCTTTTCTATTTTTACTAGAAATTTGGCAGGAGTGAAGGTAAGGGTACAGACATGGCATGTCATCATAAACTATGCCTTTCTCTAATTATCAGTGAGGTCAACATTTTTCCGTATTTTTGCTTCCATATTTTATGTTCTCTTTGAAGAACAGTCTGCTCATATATATAGCGTGTTTATATATTATGAATTTTTTTATAAAATTACACTCCAAACCTACTTTAATTCTAAACATTCTACATAGCATTACTAATTTTTCAGTTATGAAATAATTAATAATCCCAAGAATCATCCTGAGTGTTCAACTTAAGCTTTTATTTAGTACACAGACAAAACTTTCTGCTAATTTATATATAGTGATTACTGCTGCAAAGTACTAAATGCTTACCTCTGGACTGTCCTTCAGGGCATCAGAACGGGGAAGCTCTGAGAGTTGGGAGAATCGTCGGTCATAAATACATAAATGAAGATGTTTATCAAGTACCCGAAAATCTTCATAACTTCTTTTAACAATCCAACTTTTGCCCTATGGGTAAGAAAAAAAAGACGCTTATAATTTGTCCATTCACAGAGCATATTTATTACATTCTACCTTCTAATTTTCCCTTGGCTCTATTACTTCCTATAACCCAAGCTTTAGTAGGGATGAACATCCTTTCTTACCTGGAATACTGCTAATGCTCCTTACACCTTTGATATCCCCTGCTCCCCTCACCACCAGTACAAAATACAAAACTGATCAGGTCACACTATCAAAAATCCTTCAAAAACCTCCATGGTCAGCACTGATGAGCAGACCCCAACTGCACACCATTTAGTTTTGCAATTTAACCTAATTTTATACAGACGTTTTCATCTCATAAAAGATCTGGAAGGACTGCAGGAAAAAGCCTTCAGAGCAACCATCTCAGAACTGAAGTAACGCTTTTAGTGTAGCTCTTCTCCATTTGCCCCAGCCAAATGGGGCAGAAACAAAAGGCATCACTTCCTAGTAGAGAGATGTACTGAATTCTAAACACAGGTATGTAAAACTAACATGATAAACTTGTATTGCCCTACTCTGGACTATAATTCTATATTACATAGGTGGAGAACAATACCAACTCCTTGTCTGAGAGGGTTTTTAGAATGATATAAGACAATATATGTGGCAGCAGAGACTTTTAAAGAACAGTGTCCTGGTCACTATTCTAAGAAATACTAGTTCTATGAGGCTGAAATGGGATCCAGTTAATTCTGATGATCAGCCTGAATTGGGAATCACTGATCCACAGGATAAAGTCCAAACATATTTGCACATATCATGGCTTTCATCATCTGAGCTCTGTCTAAATTTATATGCTGATCTGTCATTACTCCTCCATGCCCTTTCTTTGCTTCCAGTTATGCTCAATTATTTGCATTTATTCAGTTCATGAGATCTTTGTTCCCTTTCTTGCCTCCCTGATCATTAAGTGCTGTTTCTTCTGCTATGGAAAGTCATTCTTTTACTCTTTGCTGAAGTAAGCTCCTCTGTTTTCTCAGTTCTTCCACTGCCTTTTAACCCAAAGATTTCCTAAATACCCACAGGCAGTTCAATACTTATTCCTTTGGATGACAAAAATTAAAAAATGAAAATAAACAACAAAAGCAGAAAAATAAAAGAAAAACAGCATATACTTGCAATTATTTTCTCTTTCATACACACATTTTTAAAATTATGGAACACTTCAAATATCAGAAAAGTACACAAAATAATTTATCACATACTTATGTCACTATCACAGAGATTAAACAGATGTTGACTTTTTTGTTTCAAAGCTCTGGATGTTTTTTAAAAGAACCAATTATTATAGATAAAAAGTCCATTCTTTTGTGTTCCTCTTCTAAAGGTGAGGACAGGAGTTGATATGCATTGTTATCATGCATAGATGCATTTTATACCTTCACTATACATGCAGGTATACACCGCATTGTCCAAAACAAGTAACAAGATTTTATTTCCTTCTCTATGGATCTAATCACAAATTAATTCACTCAAAATCTCAGATAGGTTGTGAGGGAATAGAAATTAAAATACATATCAAATAAAAATAATTTAAATTATCATCTGGACAAAAAGGCTTTACGGCCACGATCCATAGTATTTTAAATTTATCCACTCCATCTTCTGATTTGGGTTTGGCCTAAAGTGCTTTTCAAAAAAATGTATATGGGGGCGCCTGGGTGGCTCAGTCGTTAAGCATCTGTCTTCGGCTCAGGTCATGATCCCAGGGTCCTGGGATCGAGCCCTGCATCACGTTCCTCCCTGCTCCACAGGAAACCTGCTTCTCCCTCTCCCACTCCCCCTGCTTGTGCTCCCTCTCATGCTGTCTCTCTCTCTGTCAAATAAATAAAATCTTAAAAAAATAAAACACCAACCATTTAAAAAAATAAATAAATAAATGTATATGAATACTTTAGATACAGCACTGCAAAATCTAATTTGACCAAGTAATTACCACACCAAGCTATTTACCTTATTTACATTACCTGCACAGATTCTAAAAATATACAGATTTACCTCTTGAAATAAAGAAACAGCTAAGAAATTGACATTAGGATAAGAATGTCCCCATTGTGAATCCTGGCTGTTTAAGAATTTAATTAAGTAAATTAATGTAAAGTGATTGGTAGAGTACCAGGTAACAGAAATGGCTCAGTACATGCTGGTTATTTCTATTCTTTATTGATTTAGAGAACTTGTTCTGAGCCAAACATACTAAAATTAGTAACAGTAAACAAATTAACCTGACTAAACATTAGTTTAGTAAACAAAACTCCATGGTATTTAGCAGAACAAATGACTGGTCACCAAAAGCTAAGAAACTCAAAAGAAACAAGAACACTATTACTGGGGCTCCTGGGTGGCTCAGATGGTTGGGCGTCTGCCTTCAGCTCAGGTCCTGATCCTGGGGTCCTGGGATCGAGCCCCACATTGGGCTCCTGGCTCGGCAGGAAGCCTGCTTTTCCCTCTCCCTCTGCCTCTCCCCCTGTTCGTGCTCTCTCTCTCTCTCTCTGTATCTCTGTGTCTCAAATGAATAAATAAAATCTTTAAACAAAAAGAAAAAAAACAGAACACTATTATTGATTACTTTTAAGTACATCAGGGTTTCAACCAGGGAAGGTAACGTATCTTTAGAGGTCACAGGTTATTTTCCCATATGGCTGAATTACCACTTTTGTTTTAGAAAGTAAATCTTAAATTTAATATCATTATTTTATTTTAATATCATTATTTAAAAATAATTCATATATCTTGGTGACATTTTATTTTTGTTTTGTTTTCCTGTTTTCTTTCAGAAGAAAATGTAACATCAGCATTTTAAGTCACTAGTACAAAGGTGAAGCAATTAATCAGGATCAACTCTAAACGTGTATAATCATTCCACTATATTGGAGGTAAGGAGTGAAATAACTTGACAACCTGGTACATTCACATTTATTACTCTTGTTGAGCCAAAAGACTAAGCAAAATGGTCAATATAAGAGAAAATGTAGTACTGCATTTTGCTGCTACCCGGTGCTTTTAGAACAGAAATTGGCTCTGCTTTTTTAATCATTTTTCATTAAGCATTCTTTACTAAATGATGAATATTCTGAAATGATTGTAAGAGGTTAGGGACTAACTGCTTGTGTCTCCCCAAAACTCCTATGTAGAAACCCAACCCTCCGATATGATGGCTTTAAGAAGTGGAGCCTTTGGGAAATAATTAGGATAAGATGAGGTCAGGAGGGTAGAGCCCTCATGAATGGGATTAGTACCCTTAGAGGAGTCATAAAAGAGCTTGCTTCTCCTTCTCTACTCTCTGCCATATGAGATTACAAGAAATCATCTGTTTGCAATCTGAAAAATGGCTCTCACCAGAACTTTGCCATTCTGACCTCCTGATCTCTGACTTCCAGCTTCCAGAACTGTGAGAAATAAACTTCTATTGTTTATAAGGTACCCAGTCTATGGTACTTTGTGAAGGCACCCCAAACTAAGACATAAGGTAACATTTGGTACCTGGAATATCACTTTTTCCTTGGCATACAAAACAGATTTCTAGACTTATAAGATTGTGAAACACAGAGGGAAGAGAGAAGGGAGAAAAGAATGAGAAGAGTGGTAATCAGTAAAGCAGGATATAAATGCTGACTACTGTGGGCTACTTGCTAGGATGTGACCTTACGTAACTCTTCTAAATCTCAGTTTATTCAGCTGTAAAATCAGAAAGTTAACGGTACCTGGGGTTGTTGGAAGATTAAATGAAATAACGCATATAAGTCACTGAGCACACTGCCTGCCAATCATTCATTAAACACTGGTTATCTCTACTGATATTTTTCTCACTGGTATAGCTGGCTGTCACAAAAATACCTTTTGAATGCTATGTCACATACTTGTCATATAACAGGCAAATATTAGTTTGGCTGAAACCGTTAACATGCACTGACACTAGAACGATGCCTTCACAAGACTAATTTTGGAAAAGCTGTTGAAACGTGCAAACTGATAGACTTGGAAAGTTCCCAGATTACAGTACAATAATTGAAAACAAGATTGTAATAACACATCTGTATTTAAGTCTATGTTCCAATGTCTTACACTTCTTTAGAATAAATTCCTTAAAAATGTGACATCAGACAAACCCAAGTGCAAGGATATATTGGATTTCTCTATGCTATTTTTGCAAATTTTCTGAAAGACTAAACTTATTTTTAAATAAAAATAAAATACACACACGCAATTTGTAAAAATGGAAAGGCTGTACCAATTTTTACTGTTTGTGCTTATTTTGCTGCATCTTCCCTAATACTGAAAATATCATTTAAATTTTCCAATAGGTGAAATGATATCTTTCATTCTTTTAAGAATTATCTATTCATATCTTTGCCAATCTTTCTACTAAAATATGTTGTATACTGCTACATAGCATTTAGCAAACTTAACAAAACCTATTATACTGCATGTCTAGCAAAAGTATTTGATGTAACTATTAGCCCTTTGAGAGCTGTAACACATTTATTCAAATAGTTTCTTAGTCAAGAAATTTCCTTGAATGCATTCTGAAGTGATACATTAAATGGCTTATTACACTAAGATATTAATTTTTTTGCTTAAAAGAAATAAAAAAGAAGTTGGAAGGCCTTTCTTATTCAGGACTTCTTCCTATATAAGTATTCAAAATATATTTTTAAAAGAGGCATTAAAATACATTGTACTGTGCTTTACATTTGTTCTGCAAGTTCAACTTTTTAGTTCCTCTGGCTCTGTCTTATCAAGTACCACATAAAAGTAAGAAGCCCAGTGAAAACACATTGTGATTCAGTCACATTTCAGAAATGATCTTGTCTGTCAGGTTAAAAGTAATAATCAGACTTCCAATTTCTTTTCCAGTATGTAAGGAGCTTAGAGATTGCCACTCTGTCCTAACAAGTAACAAACTGAAAAATCAGTAACTCTTCATAGATCCATGAGAGAAATGAGGTCACAGGGCAAACTGCTTTCCCCAGAATTGGAGA